CAAGTCCCCCCTAGGACTGGCCCGGAACCCCTAAGGTCACTGGAATCTGCTTGCTTGGGGGGGCTTCAAGGCCCGGCACCGACCTTTCTGGAGGCCCATGTTGGGTCCTGGAAAAGCACCAGATGGCAGTGTAGGGATCTGGGCGTGGGGTTTAGGGAATCAAGCATTCTAGTGGATTTGAGGCCCGGCTGAGGCTGGCCGGCGGCGAGGCGGAGCCCTTGACAGCCCAGACAGCGCTTTATTCGACCACTTTCCATGGGCTCCAACCCAGTGTTTGTCGGGTATCTTCAGTGTCTGAGCACCCAGTTATGGGTGGGAACGGTTTCAGGGGGCCGGGTGGGAATTTTAGGGTTTTGGGTTTAGGCTCTCTTGAACGAGATCCCCTTGCTTAATGTCGGGGGCTTAATCCCTTTATAGTATTAATATACCCAAGGAACCTTAACTGGTAATTATTTAAGCTTCTACAGTAACTGGACTACAATAAAATCCCAATACTCAAGCGCTTCCAGCATCAATGGGGGTTCAGCAATCAGGGGTGTACAGTAAAACAAAACCCTTAAAGACCCCTGATATGCATAGAGGAACCCTAAACCCTAGACACGAAACTGTGTGTGTATACATATATATATACATATATATATATATATATGTATATATATATATAGACCTACCCCCCCAAGCCTAAACTCCAGAACCTAAATCCTAGGGCTGCGGCATGGTAGATGTTGGCATGCGATGCATGGGGAGGATCCGCCGGAGGCAGCAGGCTAGTGTACCTGCTAGCTTCCCGGCGCTTTGGAAGGTGGTGCAAAGGTTCCATAAAGGGCTATCATTCGTTTCAAAAGGTCTGCAGAAGGGGTTCTATAAGGGTGCTTACGGGTTTTAAGAAGGGTTCTAGAAGGGTTTTGTAAAAGGTTCTATCGAGGGCTTTTCAAGGGCTTCTATATGGGCTCGATAAGCGGGTTTATAAGAGTTCTATAAAGGCTCTTGAAGGGCTCGACCAGGGATGTTATCAGGGTTCTATATTTCAGCGTTCTACTATAAGGGCTTCTATGAGGGTGCGGCGAGAGTTGTAACGGCTAATGTATGGGGCCTGTTTTGGGCGTATGTTATACTATAACTATAAGAGGAAACCCCCAAAACCCTATTCTACTTATGACGGCCCCTACATTAGGGTTTCAGATGTCGGGCTTCAGGTTTGTTGACTGGCTTCAGGTTTTGCACCTGTGGCTTGCCAACAACACTCTTTCCCGCCTTCAGTGTGCCGATTCCGAAGCGGCCTTACTTAAGGCCGGCAAGGCCCACCCTAACCCTATATCGAAAACCCCTAAACCCCTAAACTCTAAACCCCTAAACCCCTAAACCCCTAAACCCTAAACCCCTACACCCCTAAACCCTAAACCCTATTGGGTTTAGGGTCAAGGGCTCTGGATTCTCAGGCACAACGTTAGGCTTTAGGCTTTAGGGCTCAGGGTTTAGGCTTTAGGGTTTAGGCTTTAGGGTTTGGGGTTTCGGCGTCATTCCACAGCTGCAAATTCTGTTGTGAGGGTTCTTTTCTTACCAGAGTTGTAGGGTTTAGGGCTTCCAAAAGGCTCATGTTGGAGAAAGCCCTGAACAAAACCCTGATAGAATCCCTAAACCCCAAACCCTAAACCCTAAACCCAAAAACCTCCTGTAGAACCTGCATAGAACCCTGATCGAGCCCTCACAAAAAAGCAAGCCTTCTAGAAGTCTAGAACCAGCTTCCCCAAAGACTCCCGAGCCCCCGTCAGAGCCCTTCTCGAAGCCTTGAATCGCTCAACCCCTACACCCCAAACCCGAAAGCCTAAGCCCTAAACCCCAAACCCGAAAGCCTCAAACCTAAACCCTCAAGCCTAAACCCAAACCCTCCACCCTAAACCCTCGACCCTAAACCCTAAAGCCTCAACCCTAAACCCTAAACCCTAAACCCTAAACCCGAAAACCCTAAACCCCTAAACCCTGAACCCTAAACCCTAAACCCGAAAACCCTCAACTCTAAAGCCTCAACCCTCAGCGCCCGTCACCTGCCCAAAGCCGCAGTCAGCTCTTTCGGCCAAGTGCTTCCCTCCGTCGGGGCCACCTTCAGGCACCTGCTTGCCAGAGGGATCATAAGGGTTTAGGGTTTAGGGT